TCCAGGGAGAAGCCGGGGATTGGGGCGGGGGCGGGGGGAGGACAGGAGAGGAGGCAGCCTCCCACCTCCTGCCTGGCTTGCGATTGGGGCCTGGGGAGTCCAAGGAGTCTGGGGGTGACTTGGGGACTCAGGTGAATCTAAGAGAGCGAGGCTATTGGAGGCTGGACAATAGGGCAGCGCCGACTGAGCAGAGCCTCCGCGGAAACCGGGTGAAGAAATGGGAACTGCGTTTGGGCAGTTACCGCCCTGCAGCCGGCCAGGACAGGGTCCCCGCCAGCCCCCATTGAGCAGGGCAGGGCCAGGTGCGCGCCGAGACTTGAAAGCTCTGCGGGGGTAACCCTTCTCCATTCATTCATTCATTCATTCATTCATTCATTCATTCATTCATTCATTAATTTTAATTCATTCGTTTGCTCTTCATTCATTCTATAAACTAAGCGCCTGTCTAGGGGCTGAACCTGGGAACCCCAAGAGATGGGGAGACAGCTGTGCCCTGTAAGACTAGCCGGCATCTGAACGCCGCGGAGGGGAAAGCGGGAGCGCATTGCGTTACAGCGGGGAAAGCAGCTAGGAATTCAGCTGGCTGGACGCAGAGGACGCCACAGCGCCCCCTGTCGGCCGAGCCCTCAGAGTAAGGTCAGCTCCCCTGCCAGACCTCAGGGTCTTCACCCACCTGGGCTCCCTAGCTCCCCAGTGCACCCCCAACTCTGGATAGCAGCTCCTGCCTCCTCCAGCCCCTTAAACTTTCCCCTACAGCGCTTGCAATCGGACAGAACTTCTGGCTTCCCCTACTTCTTTTTTTCTTCCGTAGCCTCTCCCGGCGGAGCACAGTCCCAGAGTGGTGGCTTTGAGATCAAACTCTGAACCTAACTGCTCTGGATTCTGTGCTCTGCTCTGCCCACCCCCCTCCTCCCTCCCACCCACTTCTCAGCACACTGGGCAAGAGCCAGCACATTCATGGGTCCAACTGATTCTTCATTTAGAAAGGGTTATTGTAAGAGGTCGTTTGATCCAATATGCAGTTTTTTCGTGAGGAAACTGAGACCCACAGGTGGTGGTGACCTGTTCAAAGTCACATAGCTGGTAAACCTAGTTCTCAGCCTCCTGAGTCCCAGCTCAAACTGTCTAGAGGGGTAGGCCCTGGTTTGGGGCTCTAAAGTGGGGAAGGACATTGCCCTGGACGCCAGCTGGTCACACTGGCCTAGCCACACAGGGTGGCGCTTTCTAGATGAAGCACTCAGTCCAGCGTCTTGCAAAACCCCCATTTGGTTAGTGCCCCAGAGCTGGTCTTATGGAATTTGGAACTGACTCACCCCCAACCAATCCCAGAAGAGATGGGTGCACCAACCAGATTGCCAATTTATTGTTCTCAACAAAATTGGCAGGGTGGTCTAGTGTAGTGCAGGTTCTGGAGTCAGACAGCCTGAGTTTGAGTCTTGGCTCTTCCACTTGCAAGCTGTATGAACCTGGGAAATTATTTAACAGTGCTTCAATTTTCTCATCTTCAAAATGGGGTTAGGAATTCCTACCTCATAGGTAGGTGTAAATGAATTATTATTTTCAAATGGCCCAGAATGGTGCCTGGTCCATAACAAGGGCTTAAAGAAGGTTAGCTATAGTCACCATCACTGTCATCATCATTGAGGGGACCAGATGCTCAAATGGTCCCTCCCTCTAGGCAATTCTTTGTGGAAAGCAGAATTCTTGCTGAGAAGGTCACAGCAGCGGGGGATTGTGGAATCAGAGGAGAGAGAGCTGGCGGGCCCTCAGGGAGGTTTGCCCAGATGCTGCAGAGGCATCTCTCCCCAACCCTGCCTGAGACCTTGCAGCTGACTCCCCCGGGACCAGACAGCTCCAGATTTTCAGATTCCATGTTTTTCTCTGCTTACTAAACACCATCAAATTTTGCCTTTCTAAGCCCCTTAATCTTCCCCTTGAGTCGATCTTTAAATATGCTAATGCCATTGATCAGGCTGTAATCAAGTCTTGCTCTTGCTGCCTTTTTGGCCTTGGATTCAGACCTTCTCTTTCTAAAGGGGCAGCTACAGATGGCACATTTCATCCCCACTCGTCCCCCTGAGCTGAGAGGAGGAAGGCTACTGTATCACTTCATGACCTTACTTACTTATGGTTTTGGCCTTGACCACCTCACGGGTTATGAGAGCCTCGAGTTTAACACCAGCCTTTGAAAGGATTCCATATCCCCTTTCATTTGTCCTGAAGCTGCTTCCTTCCACCCTCCCGGTTCTCATCTGCTCTGATGCCACTGCAGAGGCCTTCCATGCTCACCCACTTCAGCACCCCCCTCCCACCCACCTACCACCTACCCCCACCTCCAGCCTCCAGACTGCTGGCTTAGGGTGATCTCAGGACAGGCCTTCTGCTCCACTCCAGCACCCCCTTCCCAGCCTGACCCTTCCCAGGCTCTTCCGACACCCTCTGACCTTCTCCTCTTCCTGTCTAGACCCAGACCACAATCAGCCTTCATTCATTTAACTTGCCAGATTTGGAAGAAAGGGAAAATATGAGGAACCCAAAAAGGAATAAAAGACAATCCCATGTCCTTCCAGATGTGATAACAAGTAGTGATGGGTGGGACGCTGCAAGGGAGGGCTGAGTCTGTGGATTCCGTTGGCTTTACCCGTGAGTGTTCCAGTGAGGGCCATGGCCAAGTTCCAGTGAAGCTTACTTTTGGCACAAGTAAGCTAAGAAGCTTACTTGTGCCAAAGAACAGGTTCTTGATTTTTTAAATTTCTAATTGGTTGCAGAATGATACTATTGAAAAGTACAATGGGAATGAATTATTAGAAAAATGAAATAAAGACATATAAACTAAAAGTCCAGTTTTTAAAGCTCTTAGATCCAGTGGACATAAAACACTGTCAAATTGCTTGAAAATTTCTAAACGCTCACTCTTGATTTCTGCACTTACCTTGTCACAAACTGGCACCAAATAGTTTGTAGACAGATCATGCTTGGAATAGAACTGGTCTAGAATGCTTCTGAAGTATGAGATCAGAAAAATGGCAGCTTATAAAACCTCATGAACATTGGGGGAGATGGTGTTAATTACTCCATTCATCTGTGCATTCATTCAACAAACATTTAATGAGCAGCAACTATGTGCCAGTCACTCTTGGCTAATAAAGATTAATATAACAGGGCCCTAGCTAGCCCTCAAGATGTCCACAGACTGGAAGTGGAGACAGCCACTTTGATGAATAATTAAAAGCCAGTAAAATTAGGTCAATAGAAGACTGTGGGCATGGAGGCAGAAATATTAATTCTGCTTGGGGTCAATGGAAAAGATTCTACTTTGTGTGCTGGGGTCTGGAGGCAGATCTTCAATCCCATATGGCCAGCTGGCACTCAATAAATAAGTTAACCTGTGTAAAATGCTTAGCACAGTGCCTGGCACATAGTGAGTGCTTCCAAAGCATTAGCTGTTTTTATTATTAAATCTTATACATTATCATCATCATCCGTCTATATCTACCAAGCACTGTGCTTCACTTGGGCTTGGGGCTGTGGGGTTATAGGTAGCTCAGTTGAGGGAAGAGAGCAAACTAGTCTTAACCCACCCCCTTTGTCAGAGGGAAGATCTTCTAGAGGGGGTGGGTTGGGAGGTGGGTATTGAAGGAAGTGGTGTGAACAGACAAAGAAAGAGGGAGACCTTCAAGGCAGGAGGGTCCCTTAGAGACACACAGACAGAGGGACAAGTATGGGGCCAGGGAAGGGGACTGGTCTGATAGGGACAAGTGATGGGAATGCAGTGACTGGATCAGACTCGGCAGAATTGAGGGCAGACAGTGCCAGGCTGAGGATCTCCTTGGATAAGGGGCTTGAGATTATTCATTCTCTCATCTAGAACAACAGATAATCGCAACACCAATTAGGATTTGCATGACAGTTGGTAAAAGCTCTTTCACAAATATTTTCTCATTTAATCCTTATAACAACCCCATGAAGGAGGTATTAATAACCTCACTTTACAGATGAGAAAGCTGAGCTAAGCGGCTGATCCCTTGTCCAAGGTCACACAGCTGGCTTTGACATAGGAAGGATTCTAGCCCGATGTCCCCAGCTCCAGCTCCAGATATTTTTCAGTGTACCACAGAGAGGTGAACTGAGCCTAGACCCCCAGGGAGTTGGGTTACCACCCCAGAAGGCCTTGGCTCCGGGGAAATGATGTTCTAGGACCAGTCTTTCCCCCCTTTCTTTCCCCAGTGGATGGACAAGTGGAGGAGCAGAGAGAAGCCACAGGACAGAGCAGGCAGGGGTGGGTCACTCAGCTACAGAGGGCTCCTCAGGTGACCTACCAACTTCTCCTTCTCTTCTCCTCAAATCTGAGTCTGTATCAAGACAGGTCAAGTGTGCTTACCATAGGCACAATTACCATAGTTTTGCATTTATTAGGTGTGGCTGAGGGGCACTGAAGGTGTTTGTTTTTAAGAAAACTTTTTAAAGGTGCATTGAAATAAGAAAGGTTGAC